ATAAACGTCATGTATTTTGCACAACAGATAAAATTAATCTCCTGTATCACATAACAGTAGTGATTTAAGAGTAAAAGTGTATATGTACGTATATAGTATTCCACATACACGTAAGTATAAATAAAAAGTTTATGTGATGATCGGACAACGTCCATTTCGGTTAACGTCACGTTTCCAAGAATGTATCTGGGACGTTAACCGGTGCATGACTGTATTTACTATACATTACAGTACAGGTAAAGGAAATTACTGTCTCTAGAACGATTGGCTCCGTCTCAACTGCAAAAATGCCGACAACTTTAAAATTACCCACAGACGTTCTTGGGTACATCTAGGGTGTCATCTGCAAATAATAGAGGACTGCAAAATAAAAATCTGCAAATATGGGGGGGGGGGGGCTCCCTGTACAGTAAAACCTCGATAAATCAGACGTCAATATTGTATATCGGAATTTGCTTTTCTCGGACTTCTGAGATGCTCTGGTCACCAGAAATACTAAAAAAAAAAAAGAAATGTTTTAAGAAATGGGGAAGATTCACCCTTTCACAGCGGAAGGTTACCCAAAGCTGAGTAAAATCGTCTGACGGTAGCCAGACTAAAATGGCAAGTGCATGGCACTCGGTAAAAGGGTTAATAAACAAATCTTATGAAATGAGCAACACTTACTGAATACTGTACAGTGGTCTAATTAGCTTTGCTATAGGCCTACTGAGAACTAAGACACTTGAGTATGTAAGCAGGCTGGGGCTGATCAGGTGTTGCCACATTCATCAGGTTTATTTATTTATTTATTCAGTATTTTATTCTCATATGATTGGCCTCTTATGGTTTATGGTTCATCAAGATTAATATAACATCTTCAGTAATAGAGAAAAAATACAATACTGTATGTAATTTGCAATATGACTTGAAAATAAAAGGATAAGCTGTATCAGAAGGTTATTTACTGAAGATGCATTTGTGCGACAACTTTCAGCAGACCAGTTTACAACAGGGTTCACTATAACACACAGTATAGTATTTCATATGAAGATACCTTTCTAAAAATGTTATTTACTACCTTTGAGTGTTATATGATGGCTCAATTTGGCTACTAGTACACTTAGACAAATGATTAATGATGCATAATATTGTACACTACAATATTACTTATTAAGTGATGATAAATACACTACAATAGTATTTAATAAATGGTGATAAATACACTGCAATAGTATTGATTAAGTGATATAAATACAGAACTCTACTATACTAATTTACTAAGTGTTGAAGACAGATGTTGGGGTAAGCGGTTTGACCTTTGTAAACAAACGATTCATGGTGTTGATTCTTTTTCCAGGAAAGTTGATTCTTTTAGGATATTATTTTATGAACATGGCACCAAATGATCTTAAATTATTTAAGAATTGTGGTGAAAGTTCATTAAGAAGTGTTAAAAGAATCTTGGGGGAGAGAGAGGGAGAGAGTACCGACCCATGCTACCCCCCCCCACCCTGCCAGCTGCTCCCAGATAAACACCCGTCTTCCACATACAATATACAGGTGCTCCCCGACTTACGACGGGGTTAAGTACCCAAATCCAGGTCGTAAGTCCGACATAGATTAAAAAATAAAAATAAAATAAATAAATAAATAAATAAAAAATCTACAATGAAATACAGTACAGTAAAAGTAATAAATAATGAGGAATGGATACAGTGTGACTGAGCACTTACCTTTAATGTAGTCAGCTGAATGCACATGGGGCCCCCATAATTTTCTAATTATACATGGAGACTACATTAACTGGAAGAAGCAGAGGAGGAGACAGGGCTGGGTGGGTCATCAATGTCGCTTTCTTCAGACAGGTTAATGGACTGTGGAAACTTGCTGGTTGAAGGCATTGGATCATCTTGAGGGAGTGAAGAGGCAGAACTGGTGGGGCGTGAGGAGACAGCATTGGGGGACTTCTTAAAATGGATGTCCAATTTAGACTGCACAGTTTGTTTTTTCTTTTCATTATAAATTTCTCTGTAGCAAGCAAGTGCATCTTGGATCATTCTGTCAACTTTGGCATAACGCTCATAATTTTGATCCATGCCATCAAACATTTGCATTCCTTTATTAATTGTAACAAATGCCTCTGCCATTTGTTTCACTGAAAACTTTTTGGGGGTGTAGGTTCTACAACATTTTCTCTCTTCTTCCTCTGTAATTTTCTGTGCATCTAGTTCAATAAGATCCTCGTTACTGAGCTCTTCCGCTACACTTTCAACCAACTATCCAACATCTTCATTATCAATTTCTAACTCCAGCTGTTTACCTAACTCCACAATCTTGTTACTAATATCCGAAATAGCTTCATTTTCATTAAATCCTTTGAAACTTCACATATCTTTTCAGAATCTTCTTCCATATTCCATTTATGCAATGTTTTGTAGCCTGATACCATGCTGCACTAATGTTCTTTATACATGACAAAATGTTGTACTCCTTCCAAAACTCTCTTGAGTGTTTTCTTACCTTCAGTAGCAGCAACAGCCTGAGCGAAGGTCGTGTGTAAATAATACGCTTTAAAGGCAGCAATAGCCCCTTGATCCATGGGTTGGATGATAGAAGTAGTGTTAGGTGGAATGTAGACTACCTTAACATCAGGGTGCATGTCGTCCAGGTGTGGTGGGTGTCCCGGAGCACTATCCAAAATCATGAATGGAATCCGTTGTTGCAGACAATGCTCCTTGGCTCGTGGAATGAAACAAACCATGAACCAATCCTCAAACAGTGCTAAGGTCATCCAGGCTTTCTTATTACTGTGATAAAACACTGGCAGTGTGTGCTTGCTGACATGTTTAAAAGCCCTGGGGCTCTCTGAATGATAGATCATGAAGGGCTTTAGCTTGAAACCAGCAACTTCCCCCCCCCCCCCAACAGAAGTGTAATTCTGTCCTTGAATGCCTTGAATCCTGGCATTGTTTTCGCCTCTTTGTGGATGTATGTCTGCTCAGGCATGCATTTCCACAATAATCCAGTCTCATCCACATTAATTATTTGCTCAGGCAAATAATTCCCTTCCACAATCACTTCATCTAACTCCTCCTTAAAAGCTTCGGCAGCACCAACATCGGCACTAGCTGCCTCTCCACTCACCTTAACATTGTGTAGACTGTAGCGTTTTTTATATCTATCAAACCACCCATGACTTCCTGTAAAGGTTTGATCACATTCATCTCCTGCCTGCTCCTTCAGGCTTTGGAACAGGCTTCTTGCTTTAGCCTGTATGGTTAGAAGCCTTAAGGGTACACGCTTCTGTATCTGGTCTTCTATCCATATCACCAATAATTTTTCCATATTGTGAATAGGACCTTGTCTTTTCTTTGATATTATAGTTCCCTTTATAGGTGTTGTTCCTTTCACTACATCACGAATACGTTCCTTGTCCTTCAGAATAGTGGATATAGTCGAGTGTGAGAAACCTAGGTCGCGTGAGATTGTTGCTACTGTTTTTCCATTCTCATGCTGTGTTATTATCTTCATTTTCATCACAAAAGTAATTGCCTGTATCCTTTTCTTTGGAGCACCACCAGCACTCTCACTTTTATGCTTTCCAGTCATTATAAATTCAATTAAATACGATAATAACAATAGATCACAGCACGATCAGTATAGGATACGATAGCCAAACACCAACTAAGCACTCCACTGAGTGAGTGTACCTACTAGGCTACCCGAGCCGCGCTACGCTCTCGCCCGGGACAGAAACGTTTCGGTATAGAAAATATTTTTGGTCACGACTACCGCGGCCATATGTCCTGACGGTCGTAAGGTCAGAGCAGGTCGTAAGTACCGATGGACGTAAGTCCAAGGAGTCGTATGTCGGAGAGCACCTGTACAGTACTCCAATTCTTATTTGTTCTTATTTTTATCTTTATAGTACTGTACAGTATACGGTTTTCTCTTTATTCATAAGACAAATTCTGTGGTTACCTACATATAACACTTTACAGTAAATAACAATCATCTCGGTGACAACAGAGTTGTTGACAACCAGATTTATATGTCTGATTTTCAACCCAGAGAGTTCGGTTTCATATTTTTGTTATTGTTAATGTAATATTTTTTTAATAACCTAATGCCTTAGTTGTTGAAGTGCAGTAATAACATAACTTCAACTGATTTACTTTAAACTGTTCAGATAAGTGGTGTATCTCCAGCCCCCCTCCCTGCCCATATATTCGCATTTTTTTTACTAGGGTCTGCCCCAATTAGTCCGATTTTAAGAGGTTCTACTGTATATACTGTACCTGAAATTACAAGTTTAAAAAATACCTGTATCCATAACATAGCTCTCAGCTTGGCCTGGAGTGGTAGGGGGAGGGCTAGGGGGATGTGGTTACAGTGATGAGTCTTGTGTTACTATTACAAATACAAAACTAATATAAAATACTGTAAAACAAGCAAAAAAAAATATAAGTAATATTATCACATGTAAAGTAATGCCATACACAGCAAGTCAAAAGACTGAAGCAAACACACAACTCCCTGGGATATGATATCCCAGCATTCATGAACCATACCACCTATCTTTCTTATGGTATTTGAAAATTATTTTGCTACTTCAAACAACATTTGTACACAATGTGTAGCGAGGCAAGGCAGGAAACTGGCCGATTGTGCCAAAACATTAATGTTTGGGTGTTATCGCAAACTCCTTTTCATTTAGCAGGTTCCAATAGATGAAGAAGCAAATACTGGCACAAATTCATTTTGCTATAATGAATGATTACCGTAGTTAATAATTTAGTATAGTAAAGCATGAAAAATGATGTCAAAGTGCAACTACCTGGCATTTGTTTTGAGATTTGTTGTATTCTAATGGTCTCAATTTTTACGGTACTGCAAGATGTATGTTTCTTAAAGATAATACATACACTTGGATAAGTGTAAATACAGAATGTATGCACACATGTATAGAAACACTTACATATAGAGTACATGCTCACTTAAAAGATTTACTGTTTCAGGATCATACCAAGTTTGTTCAATCTGTTCGCTATTCACCCAATGGTGAGAGGTTTGCCACTGGTGGATTTGATGGCAAGATATTCATCTACAATGGTTCAAATGCTGATCTGGAGAAGGAGCTTGGTAGCCCAGCACATAAAGGTGGAATATATGCAGTAAGTTCTGATAACATTCATTAGTCTTTGTACATGACTTTTGGAGAGGATTTAGGGAGTGCAAATTGTCAGTTGATTATATTTGTCCTCTGTTAGTTATTGTAGAAAGCTTTCGGCACATTATTTCAAATTAAATTTGTATATTTATGGATCTTGAGAAAGCTCGTGGTTAAGAGAAATTGGGTGCTTTCTGGGAATTACTTCAAGAATGTATGAACATGTTGATTAGTACAGGATTATTGTACCCTATTTAACCCTAAACTCAGTCATTGCTTTCTATAAAATACTGTATTAGAGTAACCCCCCAGTGCAGCAGGGAAAGGTGATACAGGTACATCAAATTCCAATAAATGGTATTAACAATTGCTCTTACTGATGGACAGATTATGTTATGCTGATCATATAACAAATATTATAGCAAAAGTACAACTTATTGTGGTGCTGCTGTTTTTCTGTGAATAGGCCATGAAGGATTGCTTCCAGACAGCACCTGGTTGCGTGTATCTTGGGGAAAAAAATTTATATACAGTACAATCTACCCAAAATCACAAGTAAAAAAAATAACCACACCACCTCATAGCTTGGTAAGATTAGCCTACCACGAGCATGTCCTGGGTAGATATTGTTTACCCTAAATGAACCTTGGAATGCATAAATTGGAACCCCTCAAAAATATGATGCATATATAATTCAACCCTCTACTTTTTGTAAGAAAATTGTATCATAAAACCTCTAATTTACATCAATATAAACTAATTTGTATGTCTTTAAGATGTTAGAAATATAATGAATGACAATAATGTTTTCATTCATATTAAACAAATTCATTTGCAACCAAATTATGTTACCTTAGGTATCATGGAGCCCTGACAGCAAGCAACTGTTGTCAGCCAGTGGAGACAAGTCATGTAAGCTATGGGATGTGGAATCTGGAGATGTGGTTGCAGAGTTCCCCATGGGCAACGAGCTTGAGGACCAGCAGATGTCTTGCATATGGGCTGGAAATTTCTTGGTTTCTGTCTCACTCTCAGGGTTCCTGAACTTCCTTGACCCATCTAATCCTACCAAGCCCAAGAAGATTGTAAAGGTAAAGCTCAAAAGAATTTTTATGCACAGGGTTAGTGTTAGATGACATTATGTTAAGTTGATTATAGTCTGATATTCTGGTACTAAATGGGATATTTTTTACATCTTAATACAACAAATATGTTGATGCATAATTGATCATGTATCAGTTGAAAAATAATTAATTAAGACATACAGCATTATAAAAAATCTAGAGAAAAGTACAAGTGAATCAGAGAACAATGGGGCTTAGGTACAGTAATAAACCCTTAAGAGTATCATGGAGTGTAAGAGTGTGGTGAACAGACAGGTAGGTCCTATGTAATTATAAGAGAAAGAGAATTATTAATGACTTTGCCTATGTAGTTGTTTACTTGATTTTCAATCAGCATATTCTGCACAGCTTCAGTGAGATTTGTACAGGGTATTTATTTTTAGTTTTACAGTCTTACAGTCACCTTACTTTATTTTGGAGCCTAACTTCCTCTGCCAGCCAGCTAATTCTGGAGGCCTGGTCATCATGTCATATTATTGTACAGCCATTGTCCTCAAAAGGGATAATTGAATTGGATTATTCTTGAGAGGCAGGCGATCTAATTAGAACATATCGACCTAGTTTTTATGATTTGTACCTCTTTTATGAGCTGCTGTCATAATTTCAAGGATAGTACAGTATGCTATTTTGTTGTAGTCCTCAGCTGACAACCACCAAAAGTGGTCACACCTGCTTTGTTCTCTTCTACTCTACTTTATAAATTACAACACTAAATGTCTCATTAGTTGTTGTTATACTTCAAGAATAGTTGTTTGGGACTATACACCAACTTTAAAAGTAATAATGATACTTTATTTTATTTTATTTTATTTTATTTGTAGTTTCATAAGGACTACAGTATTTATGTGTTAGTTGGACCCTCTTTGAGTTTGGGCCAGAAGGCTAACATTTGCTGGTGTTAACACTGATGTCTGTGATCCATCTGTGGGACATTAAAAGGGCAGCACCTTAATGACATTGCACTACTAGTAACTGGGAACATGCTGCTTTGAGCATGTGTGGATTAATGTCTCCAGGAAAGTTATTAGCTGGCCATGGTTTGAGACATCTCTTTAGATTTTTTACAGTCATCTACACCCTCTAAAAAATTATTCGGCACCCTTACGGCGTGATACAATATGACACTGGTGACGAAAAATTTTTTAGTGGGTGTACTGTATATAAAGTAATTTGTATGCTTTTTTGGTAATGCTAGGGTCAGCCGGTAGTGTAGTTTTTAGAGATGACATTTGGACTTAACTTCATCTCCATTAAATCTAAATCACCTTTCACAATCATTTTACTTACCTGCAGGCCTGTAATATAAGGCAGCTCCAGGCCATTTGCACCTAGGGAATATACACTTGACCTGCACATTAAAAATTGCTCTAATCACATCCAATGTAGCCTCTGCTACAGTATGTTAAGTAATGCTGCATGTTTTCCTTCCTAATATGAAGGATTATTTTTGTGAATTATAATTATATCAAGCATTCTAATTAAGCTTTTCATTACTGGTGAACTATATTTTATTTGGTGCAGGTGAGGTCTTGTTAGTTTGGTATTAATTGTCTTCAAACTATTGTTAGTATTGTGTCTTAATGGTTTTTATTTTAAGAAGTTTGTGTAGAGCAAAATGTTTTTATTTGTTATTTTGGGTAAAACAATTAACCCCTTTATTACCGGAATGTCACTTTTAATATATTTTTTTTTTTGCTAATGCCAGATTATTTTATTCAGCAAGGAGGGGATCCTGTACACAAGTGTTTAAAGTGTATTTTCAAGACGGGACATTTCATTGGTTTTGTTTGATTACAGTATTTTCTCAATTTAACGAACTAATTCAAGCCACCCCTTTCCTTTAGATAGAAATTTCCGCTAAATTGGACTTTGTTATTTTCGCTCGATTTAGCAAACTAGTTCACTAAATCTAGAGTGATTCCATTGAATTCCATGCTAAATCCACTGCTTGGCATGTGGGGTTTGTTTACATCCGCTCAGTTTGTGTTCTGCCGCCACCATGTTTTGTTCACGACTACCTTTCAGTCAACTAACTACTGTGCATAGACATCATGCCAAAAGTCTCTCAGATTTCTCAAAGGAAGTGGTGTGGGGGAGAAAATCAAGAGTGTGGCTATCATTTGGAAAAAAAATGGAAATAATAGAAAAATAAATAAAACAAACATTGAACCCCCTAGTTTAAGGTAAGCCATGAATAATGTTTCTGTGTGCATTTCATGTGTCTAAGGTGACTCCATAGGTGTGAGCACATAACAGAATTAATCTCGATTTAGCGAACTACAGTGTAACACCGCTTTACGCGGTTAATTGAACCCACAGAGGCTCGCGTAGAGCGCGTAAACTGAACAACAGAACATATGGGATTAATTGAAATAGAGACTGGGCCGACCCCCAAACTCCACTTTTTCAGACACAATACTTATGTTGTAGTAAAAATAACATCTTAATTTTATGATGGTATGCACACACAATTAATAATTAAAAGAAATATCAATAATATTAGGTTTTTTAACACTTACATTAGTAGAAAAGATGGCTGGGCACACGGGGACGGAGGGTTGGTTCCGAGGCAGAGGGCAGATTATTGGCCCTCACCTGTATCACTTGCGTCAATTGTATCACTATCCACCACAGAGGCTTGCAGGGCCTCTTTGTCAAACCCCTCAAAGTCCATATAAGTCTATATCCTCACTATCACTGACTTGGGCCGGCTGTGGTGGGTGGCGGGTGAAGAACTCGGTAATGTTTTGATGACTGGGCAACCTTGTGCGCTCCCTGCCTGCGCCACTTCCTGCGTATATGAGTAGATGCACCGCTTAAAGTGGGAATTCCGGTTTTGGCGGGGTACCGCGTAAATGTAGAAACGTGTAAAACTGAAACGCGTAAAGCTGGGTATTACTGCAGTGCACTAAATCAAGCGAAAAATTACGGAAAAATTCCCTCCGCTAAATCGAGTTCGTTATATTGAATTCCATTAAATTGAGAGTATACTGTACTTGTGCTGTACCTGGGTGTATCAGCCTTCTGAAGTACAAAATTATAAGTAGTTCACTTCTGATTCCCAGCTGTAAACTATTTAATACTTGGTGGAAATGCTTTAGTTCAGCGGTTCCCAAACTTTTTAGGCCACGCACCCCCTTCCAAACTTGGACAGAATTGGCGCACCCCTAACACTTGTTATTGTAACACACACATATAAACACTGCACTATAAATGAACACATTTCAAACAACCAATGTTATGACATCTTTGGAACATGAATATTGGTATGTTGCTACTTACCTATTAATGTGAAGGATGTGCCTGCATTTCACCATAAAAGTCAGCAAAGTTGGGAGCAATTGAGCACAGTTTCACTCCTAAGTCTTTCTCAGCATCCAACTTTTGATAATACTTTGTCCACTGCTGTCAGCGCAGAAAACCCGGCCTCACATAAGTACATAGTAACAAAGGGCATCAATACACTCGAGGCTCTCTCTGATAAGGCTGGATACTCTTCCATGACTCCTGACCAGAAATCCACAATTGGTTTTTTCAGGAATTGTATTTGTAGTCCCCATCAGATGATAACTCCAGGAGTTGCTCCTCTTCGTGAAATGACAGATGTGGGACTGGGGGGGAAACTACAAATGGATTGTGTATCCAGGTCTGAGAGGAGTCCCTGATGGGAAAGTAATTTTGTAGCTGCTAGTACAGTTGCTTGAGGTGTTCTGTTATTAGGTGTTTCACGTGCTCATCTAGGACACTTTCATTTGTTTCAATAGTCTTGTAGCATTGGAAAGCAGTGAAGGGAATTTATAGTCATGCAGCTTGATAAGAATGTTAGTTTTTTTAAGCATTGCTTCAACCTTGTCTTGTGTGTTGAACACTGTGGCACTGAGGCCTTGGAGACATAAATTCAATTCGTTCAAAGTCGAAAAAATATTTGCCAAGTAGGCTAGTTTCTGCAACCAGTCCTCTTCACATGAGTTGTCCACAAAAAATTGCTGAACTTCACATTTCGATTCAAAAAGCCTTGTCAGAACCCTGCTGTGTGACAACCAGCACACCTCAGTGTGCAAGAGAAATGTCTCATGTTTGCTGCCCAAATATATGCAGTGCATTCATATTGTTTCATTAGCTTTATATTATGTAACATGTCATGGGATGAAAACAAAAGGAGAAATATATAATTTTTTTTCACTCAGGCCAACCAAGATCAAAGGCTTACAGAGTTCGGTAAACATCAGTTTACTTTGTCCATCAGTCAGAAGGCTTCAGTACGTGAGTCTTGAACGATACAATTCCAAAATGAGCTTAACTGTAACTCTGCTAGCTGGAGGGCTGCAGAGGGTGAGTCCTTAACTGTTCTCAGTTCAAAAAGTGTTAATATGTTTGCATTTCTAATAAGATAAATTTGATAATTCCTCCATTACTCTTTACTTCTCGCGCAGCCCCTGGGGCCAGCTCGCACACCCCGCACCACAGTTTGGGAGACACTCCTTTAGATAATAAATGACCTTATCAAACTGTAGCTGATAGTCCAGCCAGCGCATAAAAGGGAATTTTACAAAATGGGAATTACCCAACTTGTGCACAGAACACAATATATGACTGCCATTGAATTAGAAAGTGAATATCCAACACCTTTTCTACATTTTATTGCAATTTAATAGTTATTCCTGTTCTAAAATTGTGTTCACTACACCTGTCACATCACCTTATATATTATCAAAGGCGAGACAAAGTATTTAAGGTGAAAAAATAATAATTTGTGTATTTTCAGAAACTGAAAATGTCTCTTGAGTGCAGGGCAGATCCAGCCTTTTATGAAAGGAAGTTTGGATTTTGGGTGAATGAAATTAGTTGTCCATGCAGTCACACAACAAGACCCTCACTGGATGCTTGTTGTCTTAATTCCCATGTGTGTTCAAATGTACTCGGTTAATTACCCTCACCATCCCATTCCCACCTCTCTGCCTCAGTTG